AAGTAAGTAACTTACTCTCTCTCTCTCTCTCTCTCTCTCTCTCTCTCTTACACACACACACACAAAGCTAATTAGTAGAGGCTTAATCTGGTGTCTGTAACCAATAAGAGCAGGCAGATGGCCAACTGGGTCTAAGCTGAATTCATGATTTCGGTAGGAGAAACTGGCTCAATCAGTCCAATTTGGACCAAAGTTTTGGGGAAGGTAAGCTCTTAGCAGATTCAGAAAATTTTGGTTTTCTATCAAAGTTCCTGGGAAGATATCAGGGAACTTAAGAAAAGTACAACAGAAAATAGTACGCAAAGTAAAATAAAATTTTCATCAAATATAGAAAAAGGGAAATTTAATTTCTCATTAAATCACTTTATACGAACTTATTTTTAAAACTCATATTTAACAGGAATCAGGCCTAGGCTTGATGGGTTAGCATTTGATATTAGCAAAGTTACATCTCAAGTTCAATTCCTACTACTGAAAACCCCAACCAAAAAACATATTCAACAAAAAGCAGACGTATAACTCCTATTGAACTTATATTTACTTTTGGGCATAAATTTATCTTTACCTTTAGGAATCAATTTATCTTTCAATTATCTACAAACTAAAACTAAAACTTTTTCTTGAATGGAGTTTTAACCTGCTTGTTTTAAAACATACAGTCAACTCTGTAAAAATTTTGAAAAATGGCTGAAGACAATGTTTCAGATACTTCTATAGATGTCACCACCTCTTCTAACCCAGATTTAAGACCTTCCACTCCTTAACCCTCCATGGTAGGAAAGGAATGGAAGCTGTAACCAAAATTGTATTACTAGATACCAGGTTTCTAGAATACCAGCATCATGCATCGGTACTGTCCAAACAACTCTTAATGCTGGCACCATTTTTGTTACCTTCTTTCCTAATTTCAACATTCCTATCAAAGACCCTCACCTAAGCTCTGCTTTCAAAGTACAAGTTCAAATTACTGGAACCAGACAAGTTGAAACTGCAACTGTTGCCACTCTTCATTATCAGATGGTATACAGACTGCAGAATCATGCTTTTGACATTGTTACACCTTTACCCCCTGAATGTGAAAATACTGCCTTGTTCATCAAAGTTGATAACAATTCCCAACTTGTTTGCCATTACATCCCTAGACAAATTTCAAGGGCACGATTGCTTGAATTGATTCCCTCCTCTTGGGTTACAAATTATGAGAATTTACAAACCCAGAGTCGGGCGGTGATACAATCAGAATCTAGGATGACCCGAATGCCAGACGGAACTATTCAAATAGATTTTCAGTCATCCAATGATAACTTCACCAGAGAGATTTTCCCTACCCAATTCCAAGGATTTCTTGAAAAAGTCCCAGTAATTGCCTTTGATAAAACGGGAAAACCCATCTATGAGCAAAAAACTGTGGATGGACATAATTGGTTTGATTGTTGTGATTGTCCTACTTGCATTCAAGATGATGACAGCTTTGATGAGAAGAAAGAAAAGAAATTGTCTCAAAAGAAAAAGAAACTTTCTTCCAATCAAAAACTCCATCAGAGATATATGAAAAGAGATCCAACAGTTGGTTTACTTGGTGAACCTTCTGGGAAATAGGATTACTATGTTACTTATGGCAATCGTATTCCTTACCCTTCTGGACCTATTATTCCGACTGGATGGGATGATAAACCCGATGATAAGCCTGATGATAAACCTGATGTTGCTGAATGCATGGCTTTTGACCCCCAAGTATCTAGTTATGCTACTAATTTTCCTCCTTTGCATGATTATGAAAAAATCCAAGAACATGAAAAGCATGTGTGGAAAATAAAAAACCCTAGTACCAGAGATTCTTTAGGAACATTAAAGACTATTTCCCTAGCCGAAGCAAGCCTTAACTGGCAGGCCGAAAATGCAAAGTCACAGAACTTGGCCATGCTCCGACTTGAGAAAAAACAAAATCTGATGTCTTCTCAGTTAAAAGGGTTAGTTAGCATAATTACTGATTTGAAAGAAAAGATACAATCTTTGCATGAGGAGCTAATGCAGATTCTCCATTTTGTTAAAGACACACAGTTACAATCATATTTGCTGGCACCAAAAGAAAGAGAAAAAGCATTTTTGGAAACATAGCTGCAAAGCTTGGAAAAAGATATGTGGATGAAATCTCAGTACCCTCAAACTTCGTACCTATCTTCTCCTAACTTGCCTCAACTTCAACCCTTGTCAGGTACTCCTTATATCCCAAGTTACCCAACTTTGAGATATTCTGACCCTTTTCCTCCTACAAGAACAATTTACCCTCCTACTGGCTTAATACCTCCTAGGTATTATGGCTTTCAGTCCTTAAGTTCTTTAGATGATGAAAGACGTTTCCCAGAGGAAATGTTTTTTCCTCAACTCAAGAAAAAGCCGAATGTCTCTATCCCAAGTACTTCTAAGGCACCTGAACCTACACCTCCTGGTGTAACTCAACAGCAACCTCAACCTACTCCTGTGACACAACCCCCAACCATTCCTAAAAATGATACTCAAATGCTTCAAGCATCAGATTCTGATTTTGATATTGTTGCATCTTCTGTGTTCACACAAAACCTTACCCAGTCAGAACCTTTGGAAGACGTGAGTTCATTCTTAAAAAACCTTACCAAACAACCTGAGTTAAACCTTCAAACAGAAACCCAATCCTATGACTCTGTCTCAAAATCTTCTGATACAACGAGTTTTCTAGCCTCTTCTTCCTCTATTTCTTCAGACCCCTTGTTCATGATGGACCCCTTGAACAACCTCTTGACCCTGACCCAGACCCACTTATAGATGAAGAACCTAGACCTCAAAACCCTACCTATGGAGATTCATCTAAAGGTTTACAATTGATGACATCCCTCCTTCAAAATGGACTGAGAGATTTCGAGAAATACAAGGATGGATGCATGCCTAAATGCTAAAGCCTGCAAATACATTAGCAAGCACAATTTCCAAAGTTTTGGTAAGACTTGGGGGAAGATTGTTTGATTGGTATTTTAAGTCTTGGAGAATACCGTCAAACACAATTGAGAAACAGTCAATCCATTGTTGAATTCTTGAATTATTTGGTAGCTGAATTTACTGGCCCTGTAAAGCCGAACATATTACAGCCCGTGAAGAATTTTTTCAGCTTAAGTGTTGTTCTTTTAAGAGACATGATTTAGAAAAACATTTTTCTGAAATGAATAAGCGTTACCACAAAATTGGAGGAATTGATGATGTGAACTTAAAGCAATTTTATCTTGAGTCTATTCCTCCTACTCTTGGAAAAGAAGCAACAAAAACTATGGAAAATCAAAGATTGGCAGTTCAAAATGTCTCTTTTGAGGAAATTTATCAGTTTGGTCTCCATGCTTTGGAAGGTCATGTAATCAGGTAGAATTTGTCAAACAGATGGAGAAAAATAAGTATATTCTTGGCAAATCTTGTGATAAACCCCATCTCAAGATTAAGTGTGATTCGGAAAAACTATGTGCTTGTCCCCCTTTTGGATAAAAGAAGAAGGTTGACCAAAAAAGGAAAAAGAAGAAATTCAAAAGGTTTAAATACCTTCGCAGATCCAGATTTCGAAAAAAAAGGATGAAAGGTGATCGTTGTTATGTAAGTGGAAAGTTTAAAGACTCTGAACTCCAATTATTTTGTTAATCTTACTCTGTTTATTCTCTGTTTATCTCTTGATCCTCAAAATAGAATTCCACTGTCAATATGATAGAATTCCACTGTCAATAAATGCATGAAATTGTAGTCAGAAATCACGGAGATTGCAGACAAGGAATTCGATGCCATCCAAACTACCCTTTCCTGTCCCTTTTCCAAACCCGACACTTTTATAATATGCCAAAAGAAGTCATTTGCTTTCCTTGGTATCTCACCCAAAATTACCACATTTGCTTCAACTTTCATGCCAAAAAACTCATCTCTTACCTTAGACATTGTCATTTCCTTCAATGGAACAATTACCAACATCCTAATCCCAGAGCCCTTAACTTTTATAAATTCCTTATCAGGTACTTTCATTATACCCAATGGATTGAATCGTTTCACATGAAGTTCATCAGGCAGGTCATGCTCATTAAAACATTTACCAAACTTTTGAGCTCCAGTTTTCAGTCTCTTAAAGACAATTGGGCTGAGCAAAAGCATAAATCAGTGAACTTGCCTGATAGCAGCCAATAACCAGTATAGAAGAATAGCTAGGGTGGAAGACACATGAATGGAATTTGTTGCCATTGCAGCTCATTTCATGGACACACTCCCCATCATTCCCAGCACCAATTGACCAAACCCTAACTGAGTCTTCACTCACTGATGCCACATAGTCCCCTGAAGGATCCCAACAAACTGAATGTATAGACTTTGTGTGTCCCTACAATCAAACAAAAAGAAGCGAAAATGGATTAATAATGAATCAGTGACAAGACTTTTCTCTATAATCACAAGAATACATCATGTTCATAATACAAAAATCAGGTAGAAATTAAATCAGGAAAACCATCTCAAAAAAAAAAATTTAAATCAGGACAACCAGCAAATGATTGATAAGAAATGAATTCATTGGAAGACCGAATGCATTGGAACACGTATAAATGATAACTATTTTGGAAAGATGGGTTCTTTATATTCTTAACCACTGGCTATGGAAGTGTAATGAGGTTATTGATAAATGAAGTAATGAGCCAATGAGTGCATTGGAGGTACCACTTGAGAACATTAGAACTGGCTTATTGGACAAGCTTTTGTAGTAGTTTAAAAAATGGAAACGTACACAATGAGACCAATTACTTTTGATACAAATGTGAAATAGGTTGGTTGAGGATGCGTTATTGATTGGGCACAAAGTCCAAATTAAATTTCTTGAACGTTGTGACACACTTCAATCGATTGGATTTCAAGATCCAATAGCTAAAAATGATTGTGACCTTCTTGTACTAAAAGTAACTGGTCTCATAATATAAAATCCCTTAAAAAATTAACCACCTTTGCATTGCAATTGGAACTTATTTTATGAAAATGAAGTTAGCCATTTTATTTTTTGTTAAAGGTTGACATTTTTTTTTCCCCCCAATGCGGAGGGCCCGATTCACCCCTCTACCCTGGGTAGGAATCGAGCCTGGGAATTAGGCTTGACGATTTCAAGCAATAACCATTTTTATTTGTGACTAGAAATTCTTATTGTCCTTGTTTTCAAAGATCAAATTTTGGATTTTGTAACAAGTTTGGCTGCTAGGGCAAGGCAATTAAAACTCTAGAACTTGACTGAGCAGGTTTTGGTTAATTCCTTGTGTAATAGTCAATATAAACTCTGATAGACATACATATGTTGGAATCATGTATGGCTCAAACCAAATGTGCCATGAAATTCACCAGACTAACATAGGTTCTCTCGACAGTTTGGTAATAATCGAACTACATTATTTTCTTAGTTTTCAAATTTTGAATGGAAACAAAAAGGTAATAACTGGCCAACTAATGTACCAGCCATAAATGTTAAGATAATATTCTAACCAACCTGTAATGTATTCCGGCAAGCTTGGGTCTCAACATCCAGTATGGATACAACATTCTCTGCGGCAGCAGCGAGATATCTACCAAGACGGGGTTGGAATCTCATCTGGCTCATGCCACCCTGAAAAAACAATAGTTAAACAATTGATCAGTTAAACCATGAAAACTCAAGATAAAAAAACAATAGTTAAACAATTGATCAGTTAAACCATGAAAACTCAAGATCTATGCCCCGACGCACCCCACCACACCCCACCCACACCCACCCCCACCACCCCCCCCCCCCCTTCTCTGCATTCTCCCCCTTTCCTCCTCCTTAAAATGGGAACATTACATAAAATCTCATAACAAGTAATAAAAATTTCACTGACTCAAAAGGTAAAAGATCAACTATGAGGAATAAGAGAAACCACCAATACCACAAGCAAAATTTGATACATAAATAGAAATTGCATCGACAAAATGGTTAATAGAAGGTTCAAAGTACAAACCTTGAAGATTCTTGTGCAGCTACCATTGGTAATGCTCCAATAACGTATCTCACTGTCTCCATCACATGAGCAGATGAGATCATCCTTAACTGGATGGAAGTCTAAGGACATAACAGAGGCTGAATGGCCAACAAAGTTGCGAACCGAGAAGCTTGGCTGCATTTAACATAATCATCATTTGAAGAGCATACAAAACCTCAAATAACCAAATAAGATAATGCACAATATCATAGAATGTTATAGATCGTTTTTTGTTTTGTTGGATAGGGAATGTTATATAGACCTTAAAATTATTGTTTGAGTGATTTTGTTTCTGAATTTTCAAAATATGTGGCCGCAACATTTATGGTGACTTTTTGGAGACAAAATGACATCTCAAACTTATATAATGCGCCTTCTTTTTTTGCAAATACCTACGTATACGTGCAGGGGAAGGGATGGTGGGGGAGAGAGAGCGAGATGAGGAGGATGCAGACTGTACATTAGCACAGCCTCTCTCTCGATCGATATATATATATATATATATATATATATATATATATATAGT